CCCCCCCCGCCGCAGCCTTTGGGTGAGGGACCGGGGGGAAACCGAGAGATTGCTAGAGAGAAGGGTGACCGTGAGGGTGTCGTTGGAGCCGCAGTGTGGGCCTTCCCTGGCTCGCCGTAGGCGCCGGGCTGAGGCGTAGGCCCGTCCTGCCTCGGGCATGCTCAAGGTGAGCTCCTCACTCGATGAGCTCCCTCGGAGGATTTTGCATATAATCGGGTGGTAGGCCTCAGCGAACTGGATGCCGTTGTGAGAAGCATAGTAATGACTGCCCTGTTGCCAGTTCAGGTGGGCTTTGGGGTGTTGTGGTATCACTGCAATGGCCATGGCAAAGCGAATTGTGGTGCAAATGATTTCAGTGTCCTTCCCTGCAACCTTCTGCTTCAGTGGTACAGATGATGAGCATCGCAGTATGAGGGGCAACAATGATACTGTAAACGCTTTCTGATGTACCTTGTGCTTAACATGTTCTCCTAAGTCAAATAGCTGAAAACTGATTTTACATACCTAATGAACATGAGGAAAACCTTCAAAATGAAGGTAATTAAATAGTGGAAGATGTTGCCTAGAGAGGCTGTGGGACTTTTATACTTGACTGGATGAGGCCTTCAGCAAACTGTCACTGCTTTGGATTGGAGGGAGAGGGGAAGAGTGGACAAAATGACTGCCAGAGGTCGCATCCAAGCTATTATTCTAATTACTGTGTTTCTTTCCTTGAGAGGAAGGGAAATTGGTTTTGAGACTGAATATTTATTTTGTCAGTTCGACTTCACCTGCTCTAAGCTTCTCACCATTTTCAAGTCAATGAGGAAATAATTACTGTATTGATTGCAGAACTAAAATTCATTTTTCTCTTCTAGAACCTTCCATTTTCTGTGGACAACAAATGGCGATTACTTGTACTAATGTGTGGATTCTTTGGAAGTGGATTTGTCGCCCCTTTTGTTATAGTCAGACACCAGCTTCTTAAGAAATGAAGAGGACAGACAGTAATTGTGCTAACTGGGTAACTGATTTTGTTAGATTTCATAGCATAGTGGAATCTGTGGTCAAAATGGAGATTTAGAGAGCATAGTCTCATCTAAAATCATTATTACAATTTTCAGTCTTTAGCAGTCCAGGTGCTTAGAATTGTGGTCTGCAGTTGCATCTAAACTCAAATAATGAATAGGTTTAAGCTTGCTTTGCAGGGCTGCTGCACTCTCATTGAGTTGTGAACTTTGACTCCCCAAAGGCCATACCTCTCTGACTGAAGCTTCCTGATAGTCTACAGCTGGACTAACTGACAGGAGAGTGCTACTGGTTTGATTTGGATAGTAGCTATAACCAAAACCATGTCTACAGTCTTCTTTGAGGAAACCTAAAGCTACACTTCATGTCATCTATAAGAATAACTGGCATTTGTGATGTGAACAAAACAGTATGAGAAACTGTGATACTGTAAACGCTTTCTGATGTGCCAGTTAAAACTCAGTGGAAAACAAGATTTCATGGAAAAAAAATCAGCAGGCTTATATTAAACTTGAGTATTTAGAACTGTATGATTTCATGTAAGTCAAGGCCTCTGCTACAAAATCATGTGGTGGATGAAGCAAAGCCCATCAAAATGCTAGTTAAAGCATATGTTTCTAGTTTTTCTAGATTCAGAGCTAATGTAGAGTTCTTAAATTTGTTAATTCTTTTTTTCTTGCAGAGTTGAAGTCTCCTAGACACCATCTTTCAATGGAAAAAGGATAGCTGCAGTTGTGTACCATGCTGGATGTGTCTAAATAAAATCTTAAATCTGAAGGTCTTGGGCTGCGTGTTTTGTGAAACTCTTCAGTTGCATTTGACAACTGGCATATACTGAGAAGCCCTTCAAGTTGCAGTGTATTGACACTGCACTTAGTTATACCCTTTGATTAAACACTAGTTGTCTTTACATATAAAAACAGACAGTTGGAAAAACTGCATTTCAAAACTGAAGTTGGGCTTAACATTTTTAGCTGGATAGATGTTTGAATAGCTTTAAGCTATGTGGTCTTCTCAGACACTCTTCAGACTACTCAGAGAATAATGACCTGGGATAGATACAACTGATAAGCCTCACAGGGGTATACTGTCACCATAATCCATGCTGCAGAATTTTTGTCTTTGGTATTTTGGGTTGATCAGTTGAGAACGTCTTATTTGGCTTTGCTTCCACACTCAGCTGTTCTGAAGAGCTGCTATTATTAGGTCTCTGTAGTGTGCTGCATTACTGTTGCTCTGAGCAGGAGCATGTGCCTTGCCTTGCAGGCTTCAGGCTCAGATGATGAGGTAGTCTGGAAAACAAGTACAGCAGCAATAACTACAACTCTGACCAGAAAAAGTATTGCTAATATTCTATAGCTTATCAAAACTGATACTGCTGCAAATTTGTAGGTGTTGGAAAGAATTGATGGCTTTCAGTTTGTAGCTGTAGTCTCAGCACAAGGTCATGCCTAACACTGGGGCCTCAGTAATTAAAGGTATTTGAGCACCTGTGAAGAATGCTGTTAGGTACTTCTACCAACTTGAATATGGCAGCCAGATGTTTAAATTAGTGGCCCTATTGACATCATGAGTAGAAAGTCATTTTCACATCCACTTTCGCTGTCACCACCTCGTTGGCTAAAGACACAGGGTATGAAAAGCACTGGTGTAACCCAGTAATGGTTATTTCAGTCTTGCCGATAATGCTGTTAAGTGTAAGTATTCTGAGTTGCTTTCCTTCATTGAGGTTTTCTGATTTACTTTATTCCCCCCTAAAACAAGCCCTTTTGCTGTAGCACAGTGCATTTAATGTGGCTTGCAACATCTGTCAGTCCATGAACTGAATGGTTGCTTCATAGAAGTTCAGGTTCAAATAGAATGCTAATTTGTCATCAAATGCCATCAGCAGAAGTGTATATAGGAGCAATAAAATACTGTTTGTAATGAAATAGCTTTTGGGTGCCACATTTCTTGTTTTTAGGGGTGCCTTTAAAATGCTGATGACTAGTGTTTGAAGAGCCTGATATGGGAATAAAAGAGACTACTACTGTCTGTTGCTACAACTTTTTCAGTAGAGCTAAAAGGAAGCTTAATGAAGCATGGTGGTTTTGATCAAAGGACCAGCAAAGGCTGCAGAAAAGTGGTAATGAAGAAAGCAAGATTCAGAGAAAAGATCATGGACTATAATGGGTCCAGATAGTAAGAATGCTTTATGACTATGACTGAAGTATAATTGCACAGTATAATTTGTTTTTTCCTGTTAATGTGTGTATTTTGTGTCCACAGAGTAATGCCTCTCAGCAGAGACTTAGTGTGTCTCCCTGTGTCTCATAGGGCAAACAACTTGTGTGTGTTTACTGTAGGTGATACAGGAACAGCATGACGAGACAGCTAGGGAATCCAGAAAAGGGGACAATTTCTTGGTCTAGGCGTTGGGATTTCCTGGAAGAACTCGGGTACTATAAAAAAAATTCCACCCTTGTTAACACAGAAATCAAAACAGAAGCTCTTAGGTGACAAAGTCTCATTTGCTTCCTGTTGCAGATGAGCAAGTGAAATGTCTGTTGCACAAGGCAAGTCCAAATGGAAGCCTGTTACAGAATCACATTTCTCCTATGGATCACAAATGTAACTTCCATTGTGTATTTATTTGTACCTAGCTCATTGTGTTTGTTCTTAAGTTAAAAAAATTGTTTGGGTTTGTTTGATTAATTTTCTCTCTTACTGCCAATTCCTTGATGTATTTGAAAAGAGAAAGCATCATCTGTGAAGGTTTATCTTGTGGGCTAAGCAAACTAGTTCCTTTAGTCTGCTTAAAATAAGGTCTCTTTTCTGAATATCATCCCCTTCTCTGTACTTTTTCTATTTAAATGTATTTTTGAGCATGGGTGCTTAAACTTAAAACAGTTATTTTTAGCTTAATTGTTAGATACTTTCTCCTCTCATGATGTATTCTAAAACTGTAACCATTTTCTTTCACAGTGTTGTTACATTGATGGATCATAGTCATTTAGCAGCAGAGCAGTCCCCGTGGCTACTAGTTATGAGAAGGTTTTAAATTATGACCCTGTTTCCAACCCTGCCACCAACTTACAAAAAATACTGATGTGAATCAAAATACCCTTAACCTTTCATCTCCTGCTGTTTTACTTAATTTCTATTACTGTAACTGTAAGGCATACACTGGGGGATGATCTGAACTTCCACTGTGCTGATGGTTTCTTCCAGCTGCTGTCTACTGTATGCTCCCACTCTTTGTGTGCCATTAAGAGTCACAAAAATTAAACCACATCAGTCCTGCTTTGGATAAGTTAGCTGACTAAATGTATCTTGTTAGTCAAAAACTATCACTTGATAAACCCATGTTCATGGTGTCCCATTATTAATTAATCTTTCCTTTAAAAAGAAAGTTAGTACAATTTTGTAGCCTTTTTAATCTAATCTGCTCAGTTAATTCTTTCAAGATTTCTTGAGTATAGGTTATGTACACTTGCTGATTTTGATCTGTGCAGCTCTCCAGTTTTAGCTTGTATTTTTAATATAACACCTGCACAATGTAAGTTTCAGAATGAGTGGCCATATTCTCCATTCATTGCAAACTCTGTGTTATTCTTACGTGCTGCCAAAGCTGTAATTAGTCTCTTCAGATTTGGACTATTTCTCTACATGACTTGCTTGGGCAGTTTTCAGTAATTTTTAAGCCCTATCAATTATCAAGTCCGTAAGTTCTCTATCTGACTTAAGTAATTGGTTCCCTTAGGTTTTCAAAACTTCCACTTCTGTAATAGAAACAGATTAACAGATCTGTTTTGATCTATCTTTCTATTAATGCAAACTAGGACAATCTGCGTTTTACCCAAAGGCGTTTTTTACTACCAGATTTTCAATAATCTCATCACTGTTTAATAAAGCAAAGTCTAAAATTCTTCATTTGGTTGCTGAGGTGGAAAATACTGGTTGTCATCGAGAGATATGTGGCTCCTCTCATTAATATTATATGTTTGACAAATTTAATTTCAGAGGCACAACTCCAGATTGTATTTGTTTCTCTGCTGTTATGAGAAGATCACTGCTTATAGCTAAGCCTGGTTTTAAAAGCATATGTCAGAGCCTAGAGCACCTTCTCTCTTCACCCTTTTTTTTTTTTTCTTAATGCCACTCCCAAAATTATTTTGGTCTTAATCTTTTCTGTTTTACCCATTCTGTGGTTTCCTATTTAAGTCGTCCTACTCTTTTATTTGCTTATTGACTGTTAACTAGGTAAGGTAGAGAAACTCGGGTAGATTTTTGAAATGCACCTATTACTAACCACTGATTGTGGCATCTCTCAAACTCTTTTCTTCCATGCCTAGCTCCACAGGGTGGAAAACCTACCCATGACAGCAAAATGCTAGGGCAGACCAAATGACCTCTGATGGGAAACCTTATGCTGGTCTCGGGGAGCAATGCTGTGGATAAAATAACTTTGAAAAATGTCCGATTTGAAATACTAATGCGTGACTTCAAGAGCTGCTGAGCCGCTGAGTCTTCTATTTACTTCACATAAATGGGACTAGCCCAGCTCTGCAGCCTGACAAGCCCTAAACTGTCATCCCCCAGCACAAGGTTGGGGATAGGTTAGCTGGTTTTGTGACCCTATTAAATACCAACTGTTTGTTGACCTCAAAGGAACCAGAATCTCATCCAGGAAAGACTTCTCTAAACACATTCCCACCAGGGAGATTAACATGGAAATACCCAGCCCTGAGTGATTCCAGAGATGGAGGTGTCGCTATGCACATGTAAGAATGACCTGATATTTAGTGATGATAGATCAGATCAGATTAATTAAAAACCAGGAGTTGTAGAATTAAGTTGTTCAAAACATAAGACTATGTTCCATCACACTCAGCTATATAATAGTCTGAGTACCTAATGAAATATATATTTTTAAAATAGCCTTTTGTACCTAATGAAATATTTATTTTTAAAATAGCCTTTTGGG